TAAACTGAATGAAAACCATTGTAAATGTAGGTTGTTTGTTTGAATGAAATCGAGTGCTTTTTTAAAAAAATAAAAAAAATATTACATTTTTGCCGATTATTTCCTGGAATTTAATTATTGTTTTTGAATTTCATTATTGGAAGGAAATAAAGATAAATTATAACTGTAATAAAGATAATTATAACTGTAAACAAAATATTACTATTATTTTTTATTAAAAATTAATTCAGCATTCAAATTCATTTAAAGTGACAGTAAAAAAATGTACATTGTTTCAAAAGATATCTCATTCAAATAAATGCAGTTTTTTGATCTTTCTATTTATCAAGAATCCTGCATAAAATATATCACAGTTTCCACACACGTATAAAGCAGCACAAATGATTTTAACATTGATAATAAAAAGAAATGGTATTAGAGCATCAAATCAGCATATCGGAATGATTTCTGAAGGATCGTGTGATAATAAAAAGAAATGTTATTAGAGCATCAAATCAGCATATCAGAATGATTTGTGACACTGAAGACTGGAGTAATGGCTGCAGAAAATTCAGCTTTGCATCAAATGAATAAATTATATTTTAAAACATACAAATAGAAAACAGTTATTTAAAATTGTAATGCTATTTCACAATATTACTGTTTTTACTGTATTTCAATATTTGCAGCCTTGGTGAGCATAAGAGACTTCTTTCAAAAACATTTAAAAATCACACTAACTGCAAACTTTTAACTATATTGTATATATGTAATAGTTTTGTTGTTGTTGTTTTTGAAAAGCAGTTTGCCTAACATTCGATTTAATTGTCAAAAACATAAATCATAAACATCAAGAAAATGATCAGCAATCAGTTTGTGGCTTAGTTTTCATGCATATATACTTTCTTACAGAATGAAGAACAAACTGTGGTATTTTGAATTTGCCACGTCCGAGACGATCTCAGCATCTTGTAAAAAACTCAAGGAGTGTCTCACCATTGAGGTAAGAAAAAACACCTTACAAAAAAGGCTCACACTCCCATCTAAGTTCAAAGAGGTTATTGATCATTCCAGCTAGCCTTGCTCCTTCTTTCCTTGTGTTGAAAGCCCATCAAAAGGCATCAGCTTAAAAGCATGAGCACAGCGAGGGCATTAGAGTGCTAACACCTGTTATTAACCTGCTTCGGGTATTAGTCATCTGTCAGAGCTCAAGCCAGGAACATTTCAATCTACCAGATCAGGGGCATTAATTCAGAATATGAAGCAAAGGCAATTCATTACTTCAAAATCTGCTTACGCACGTTAGATGTATTCAGCTAGAAATCATTTTGAATATGAAAAACGTAACAGAACTGACCCCAGAGCCTCTGTCTGGCCTTATCCAGTGTTGCGGGACCCAGTTGGATCTCAGTAATCTTTCTCTGGAAGGCATCGCCGTCCTCAACATTCCCAGCATGCACGGCGGCTCTAACCTGTGGGGTGAAGCCAAAAAAAGTGACAGAGCGGAGCAGGGCTTGCCTGAAGTCATAGTAGACCCCGAAGTCTTAAAAGTGAGCCCACAAGGTACGTTTTCCTTCAATGCAGGGAGCAACTTTTAATACGAAGATTATCCAAAACACTCAACAGACTGTCTCCAAACAGACATGAGCGACAAACGCGTGGAGGTGGTGGGATTGGAAGGAGCCATCGAGATGGGACAGATATACACAGGGCTGAAGAGCGCAGTCCGACTCGCCAAAACATCTCAGATTATCATCAGGTGAGACAAATGCTTACCAGCAAATGTTCTTAAACAAGCTCATACAGGCACAAACCAGTCATGACATGCTCAGACATGTCTAGTCTACATGCATTTGCATAATCGTCTGTTCGCTTTTTCAAAATCCAAATATTTAAATTACATTCCATTAATTCTTTTGTCATTAAATGGGGATGGTCAATTTATTCTGTAACACTCTGTCAACCACTATTGAGTCATATAATGTGAATGTGTGCTTAGTCAGTCACCCAAGCAATTGCCCATTATATGATTCATTGGTTATTTTTGTTTCTAAAAATGTACCTAATTGTTTTATTCAAAAACGTACCCTCATTTATAGGACAAAGAAGCCTTTGCCCATGCAGATTGATGGAGAACCGTGGATGCAGCCACCTTGTACTGTAAGTGTCCACCATACTGCATTTCTAAGCATTTTACTTTGATTCATCCAGGTGACTCTTTTGAATCCATTCATTAAAAAGATTCAGATTTATACACTGATTTGTTTAGTGACCCTTTCTGCTGGTTACACTGTAGTAGTAATAAGCGAAAATCTTTTTGTGTGTTGTGTGTTAATCATTTGATTCATTCACTCAACTCAACCAAGTCAAGTCTTATTACACTTTGTGTCTACAAATCTATTAATAAACTCTATAAACAGTGTTTAGCTACCATAAGTGTTGTTTCTAAATAATCAAAAAAAACAACAATTTAATCACCTAATTTTTAGTGAATGATAAGGATTTGTTAAAAAAATACATTTAAAATGTCATCCAAGATGTAGATTTTGTTTCTTCACCGGAACAGATTTGGAGAAATTTAGCATTACTGGTGTGAATGGGTGCCATCAGAATGAGAGTCCACACAGCTGATAAAAACAATTCTAAATTTTTTCAAATCTGTTTCAAAACAAACACATCTACATCTTGGATGGTCTGAGGGTGAGTCAGTTTTCATGTACAATTTTTTAGTGAACAATTCCTTTTATTTCAGTTTAAACTAATAGAAACATGTCAGCATTAAATGAGATTTAACTTAATGTGTTGTTTTATCTGGTTTTTTTTTTCATTATTCTTCCTCAGATTCACATCACACACAAAAACCAAGCCAGTATGCTGATGGGCCCTCAAGCCAAATCTGGCTTTTTCAACCTGAAATAGAGTTTACCTGCGCTTGAGGATGATTCACTTCGCTTCGAAACTCTGTGTGCATTAACAAGGACTCTGAAGCTAATGACAGTGTAAAGTGTATGTAGATTTTGCAGAAAATCCTTAATAAGGTTGTAGCTCTTACTCAAAATCCTTGTGTGTTTTTAGGAGATTATCCTTACATGAGGTAAAAACTCTTCGCTAGACCATCTTAACATCAAATATGCTCTCCTTAAAGAAATGTAGTGCTCTTAAACAGTAGCTCATGCATTTTTGGCTGTGATAAAAAACGCATATCATGTGCACAGGTCATTCCAGGTAAATAGGTTGGATAATTGTTTTAAGGTTATGTAGATATACATAAAAATATGCATCACTCCAAAGCATCTAGTGTATTAATCAAGGTTTGATGCGCAGTGACTTTGCTGTATAGGTGGTTTAATATTAGAGATAGATCTTCGCTAACTCTGCACACTGCTTTTAGTTATTCCTTTAGATTTTTTCTCAGTTACTTTCACTAATTTACTAATCATGAATGTCAGATTACTCCGACTAATGACTAGCTTTAGCAAATTAAAATCTGAAGAGCTTTATGAGACATCTAATTTATTTGCTGTTAAAATGTAAACACCTAAAATAGTAGGTGTAATGTTTAGATAAAATATCGAAATGAAACCAACAGTATGTTAACAATTGTTATTAGGTTATTTTCATTGTATTAAGAATGTATCAAGTCAGTTGTGTAAAACTGATTTTGCAACATTTCATACATTTACACAGTTAGCAGTCCATCTATTGTATTTCCTTCAGAAAGCTCAATGGGCAAAATCCTAAAGGTTTTAGATTGCACATTTATGGCACTCTGGCAGGCTTTTTAATTTTACGTTGCTCCTGAGAATGTAGAGGATCTCTTAATTTTGTGAATTTGTCTGAATAAACATTTCAATGTTAAATGATTTGCAGTGTATCTCTGTTTTGATAAAGGTTTCTTAATGCCATAATTTGCCTCAACACTCATAAAGTGTTTACAGCATAAAAGCAATAGAGGGCTCTATCAGTTTGACTAATTTTACACGAGCCTGCTCAGCCATAGAGTTCAAGTTTCATTTTCTCATATACCATTTCTAGGTTACTGAAAGTAAGTATTTATTTAGTTAGTATATCGTAATTAATTTTTATATACTTTCTTCCAAACTCGCATGTGATAACTCATGATAACCCAAATATTAGTCATTAATAATACATATCAATATTAAAATGAGCTCCATTTTTTTTTACCTAAAATGTTGCTACAGTTGCATCGGTATGTGAGGATAGTGGCCTAATTCTTTATTATGTCTGATTTAATCTCAAGGTTCAGTATATTTCACCATGACATACGCTAACGATGTCTGATTCTGATTCGTGGATGAATTGTTCTTTAGAGCCGAATCTTTTCAAATAGTCGGTTCACAAAACGACAACGTGGTTTCATTGAGTCAGTGAACCGCTGAATGGTGTGGCTAAAAGTTACTTTCATATCCAAACCTGTTTTTATACAGTCTATGATCCAAACACTAGAAATATAACGAATGTACCGGAAATATGTTTATTCAAGTTTTATCAACTCGCATACAAAATCTCTGAGTTGGCTTTTTTTTTTTTTATTGTGCAACAATCCAAAAAAGAGAAACTAAATAAAGTTCAGGATTGACTAATATTAATGCAAATTATAATTAGCTTATATACTACTACTACTACTAATAATAATAATAATAATAAATCATTACAAACGTACATCGTGACGTGTTACAGTCTATGGTTAATATTATGGTTTTATTAACGAACTGTTCTAAAGAACCGATTCGGTGAAATGAGTCAATCTTGCCCTCACTGGTACAAACATTGTTGACCATGGCAGTCGAACACATAAAACTATAGGCTTAGTACTTTTTGTAAGTAACCATTGATAATAGTGTCTACTAAATAATGCTATGTATAATCCTATAACACAGTTTCAGTGGTCTTCAATGTTGGGTCGTGCCAAAACATCGCTTCTGTGCATGACGACCAATCGCATCGCGCCAATTGTGTGGCCCCGCCCCCTTTTCAAGTATTTCCTTCACATGTGCGTTTCTAACGCGACGAGTCTGTCCGCAGATGCTGCTGCTGAAACTGAGCTAGAGCTGGGGATTATTGCACAAGTCAGAGTGCTGGCTGGTGGCGAGTGTGTGGCTTTTCACCCACACTCAGTACTTTTCATCTCTCGCTCTTCTTTCATATACTGTTGCTTTCTTATTGAGTGACACGCGGACTATGAAAAATATGACTTTCCGACGCGTAAAGAAGCTGAACTCAAACAAGCCGGACAGCGGGTCGCTGTGTCACGACAGTGGGGAGATCTACTTTACGTCTTCCAAATCGGACAGCTGTGGGACTGTGGATCGTGGACCCTCAAACTCCACTGAGGTTTATAATTATAAGACCCTCGCTTACTCTGGAGGGACCCTACCAAGGAACTTCAAAAAGGTTAGAGCATTTCATTTGAAACTCGAGATCCAGTTTGCTGTATTTGACTCCTTTAAAAGTGTTTACATGTACCATGGCGAAATATTAATCCATATATTTAGTTATACATTTTCAGTACATGTGATAATATTGATCTACTTTTGATTCCCATCTGGAGAAAAATAAAAAGTTTTAAGTCCAGCCAAAGATAATTTACTGGTCAACCAACCCATGATCAAAAAGGTGTTTGGGATAGTTTTAAATGCACTTTTCAGATAGTCAGGTTGGGAGACCATCTAAAACCAGATAAGACCAACAAACCATCTTAGGCTGTTTTTAGAGCAATATTGGCAAGTTATCACTATAGCCAGATGTTGAGTGCACATGCTTATTTAGAAAATCTTGATCCTGAATAATCATATACCATCTTAAACTGGTTTTAGCTGGTCTCCCAAACCATGGGAGACCAGCTAAGACCAGCAAACCAATTTTTTCTTCAGCAAGGTTGAGCTGTAGTTTCCGCAGCGTGTTACTGAGTTAAAATTGAACTCACACTTCATCACATATACTAATATCAGCTACTGGAGTCAAAGCTTTAAAAGTTATATTACACATGTTTACCACACTTTATATCTGCCCTCTATGCATCAACATCTTGAATAAATTGTTTGGTGTTGTCTGGTCTTAATTAAGCACAGAAATAACAGTTCTGTGATGAGTTTGCTTTAATTAGAACCAGCAGTTGCATGCAACACTCAAGTTTGATTAGTTTGATGGCACACAAGTTGAGCTCCACCTCTCTTGATAACTTTTATATGCCACCATTATTGGATGTAACTTTATAGGACAGTGTTTCTCAAACCTGGTCTTGGAGTAGCCTTGAACTGGACATTTTGGATGTTTCTCTTATTAACACACCTGATCCACATCATCAGCTCATTGTTTGATGCTCTGAACTGGGTATGAGACATTCCAAATGTGCAATACTCAAGTACTCCAGGATTAAGAGCCACTGTTGCATGGGACTATAAGGTAGCTAGACTCAATTAGGTAGTCAATTAGACTGATGTTCCTGATTGAATGGCTCAAGCAGTTGTCACACCTAGTGTGCATCTGTGACCATCAGCATGTGACGGTTCCTCTGAAGAAGCTCATTTGGATGTATGCGTGTGAGCAGTCATGCAGAAATTTAGAAGTGGCTACACTTGTTCATTTCTGCATGACTCTGAATCATTTTTCATGCAACACAGACAATAATTCATATCATGCCACAGAAAGTAGAGAATGACAAATTTACTACTGTTCAGTAGTTAAATTACTTATTTTATTTGTTGTTTGCATACATTTTCACAAGGTCAAAGGTTGTATGCTAAACTTTTTTTTTTAGGTAGCAAGTAGCAACCATTCATTATCAGATGAGAATTTTTTTAACATAAGCTAAACTTTATTAAAACATTATTATTATTAGTAGTAGTAGTAGTAGTATATTACCAATAATAAATAGAAAAGGCATTTTCATATAAATTATAAAAACTCATTATTATTATCAACAGTATTTCAAATTAGTTTCAATTTACATATCTGATAATAATAATAATGTTTACATATCTGAACATGTTTATTGTAATGTTTTTTTTTTGTTTTTTTTAGATGGATAGATGCATATATTAGATAAACAATGTCTAGTCCAAAGTCTCCCACACTTCTTTCCAAATCCAAAGAGAGGCATTAATCTGCTGGTCAATTCTACAATGTACCTCGCTTTGGCAAAAGCAGTTGCTCTTGGGTTTTCACCATACAGATGTGAGCCTGCTTGGTTCTGGCCCTTGGGTTTAGACGCACTGAAGTGTGTTTCATGGTCACTCATGGTGTAAAGTGTTTCCTGGTGTCTTTGGACCACCCACACGCAGGTCTGACTCCACCGACTCTTTTGAGTAACTGTAAACAGCTCATATGTGTCCCTGCTGAATTCTGGGCCTGCTCTTTTACAGTCCACCTCCTGTGTGGCCAGCCGAGCCATTTTATGGATCCTGACCAAGTGTCCGGGGCAGTGAAGCCCCCTCCAGATTGTCTATCTATAACCTTTGTGTGGAACTGAATTTACTGCAGAATTGAAAAGGCCTGAGTGACCAGGGGTCAGTGCATTTGTGTTGGTGACCGTGTAATGAAATGGCTTTTGAAATTCAAATAGGTCTGATATGATCTCAGTATTTCCCGGTAACTGTCTGGTGACAATCAAAACTACATCTAGTATGTGTTATGAGTATGACTCTGATATTCTTAAAGGGATATCTCACCCAGAAACAACAATACTGTAATTTATTTACCCTTTACTCTTCTTCTATCTCAGTGTTTTGTTTGTTTGTTTTCGTTTAGTTTTAATTTTAATGTTTTGTTTTAGTATTTAGTTTTGTTTTTTGTTTTGTTGTAGTTTCGGTTCTTTGTTTTCGTTTAATGTTTTTATCCATGCTTTGAAAGTCAATGAAATCCAATGTTTTGTCATTGAGTGTGAGTAGGCTAAATGATGACAGTGTTTTCATTTTTGGGTGGACTATCCCTTTAAGACAATGTTGCTGTGTACAAATAGAAGTCTTTTAGATGGTGGGAAAAATATTACAATTATATGAATTCTGGCAGAATGACCGCAATTTTTGCCATTTTATGGTCAAACATTTTATGGTCCTTGACAGTTGGTTTACTCAAAACTAGCCTGCAACATTTAAATGTTGTATTTTAATTTGTGGAAATTAAACTAAGCTTACTCGCAGTGGAGTACTACACGGCAAGCTTTTGGATTGTAGGGCAGGGCAGGTTTATGAACAGCTCTCTTTATCTGGACTCCTACACTTTGCGTGAACGCCGGACCACAACAGGGTATTGTGTGGCCGAGAACTTTGCTACCCCATCCAACTGGCCCATAGGGACCCTCTTAGTTACATGGAAATAAATGAAGTCTTTGAGGGGGACCCTACGACCATTCTCAAAGTGTATGAAAATAAAGAAAGGCAACGTTTTACTAGCTTTGGAGGGTTCGTGCACAAAGTGCACTTTGTGGGAAGCTGAAGTTGTTGGGGTTGAGGTGCAGCCCGATTGAATTGGCATCTGTAAGAGCGGGTGTAATATGAATGAATTCTTATGTCCGTTGCGCAGTTTGGGTTGGGTTTTCAACGTTATCAGTCAAATCATCAGTGCTGTTATAACCCATGACAGAACTTGTATTCTCCAACCTGGCTGCATCTTAGATCTCCTTGTGATAATAGACTCTTACAGTGATAAGTTTACCTAGTCTGGAGATAAAATAAGATCAGAAACCAAACCAGAGAAAACTGCGATAGAAACAGTTAAGTGAAAGAGGCAGGCAGACATGCATTTCAAGTTATATCTGTGCTTGTCGTCCGAACTGTTAAACAGCATGAAATGAACACGTTGCACAGCTTACAACTCAGACTTTGGGAAAAGACCTGTTGATCAGGAGGGGATTTCTAAGTGCACAAGGGCAGATATGATGTGGCCAAAATTCACAGACACTCATTTTATTCCTCTCTTGTTTTCTTTCTATTTTTCCCTTCATCTCTCTTCATCTTGCTAAACAGAATGGTGGGCTGCAAAAGTGGAAGCCCCTTTCACACTCTCCAGAACCACAAAGGTAAGATTGCCACTGCTTGTTCTCCACCTACACAGATTTGATTGGTGTTTGCATGCGTCATTGTTACTTCCTTAAAAAACATTCTATTTATTGTGACAGTTATGAAAATGTCAGACCCTAGTCATTCACGCTTTTTCCAAGGTGTCATGGAATAATTTATTTATATAGATTTATATAAAATGGCCTTTTTGGAGGACAGAATGATTGCAGTGAGGCCTGAATGAGCCTGTGAATAAAAAGGGAGTGCGATTAGGATCGGCCAGATGGTCAGATACGATCTTTCTTCGCTGTATGCATCTCTTTGTTTAGTATATGCGTATGCATAATTCATGATTGCCTAATGATGTATGTGTGCTTTCAGAAACACAGGACTCTTGTCATGTCATGGTATTCATAATAGACACGTTTGAATCCCGAGATGGCTCAATTGACTACAGTAGTCAACATTTGAAGTGGATCAAAAAAGTTAATCAAAGACAAGAATGCATTTTGGTTTTAGGACAACTTTGATGAAAGGTTTTGATCCACTTCAAATGTTGACTAGTGTAGACAACTACTATTATCCCAACAGAAGTCATCTCCAGTTCAAGATGCACCTATGTGATAGTCATTCATGCCCTGAGGCCGTTGTAATTGAGAACTGTAAAAACACAGACTGTATAACAGTATGAAACCGAAAGCTTACTGAAAACATAGTTTGAAAATGAGCTGTTCTTCAGATGTCACACCCAGAATCTTTTTTTACTTTTTGATCTTTTTCAAACATTTCCCATTACGCCACACAGACGTATCCTCCAAACAGCAGTATCATGCGGTTGATTATGTGTTTCCTCTGTGTTTCTTTCATCATCCATGTTCCTGTAAGCATTGACCATCAGTCAAGGTCATAGATTGAGACAAAACCATTCAGAACGAGACTTTACTAAGACCGTCTCTGTGCAGCTGCCCTTTTTTTGATCATATTAACAGAATACCCTCAATTTTGTTTTTTCCTTTCAGGAAAACAGTGACCCTGATGAAGAAAGAGGAGGAGGCCTTTGGCTTTGAGATCCAGGTAAGAGGGATTTAAAACTCTTTGAATTAATTCATGGTGGTAAATAATGTAAAACCTTTCTAAGGTGGCTTGTACATGTGGGTGAGCCGCTCATAATTAAATCAAAGTAAGGCTTTGGATGAAGGATCCATTCATGGTTAAATAGCTGTTATGTTTAGTCGATGACACCAGTGTTTATTTGACCTAATTTTGACCGAAACAAGTATTAGCTAAGATTTATCCATGTGTAATCCAGTTGTAGTTGTGACAGAATCAAAAATCCCTCTTAGTATGAGAACCTGCATGTTTTCTCTGTAATTTGTTCTTCACAGTGTATACTTTATCAAAGTCTGGTTCCTCAATGTGGAACCGATTATGAACTCTGCATTTGTAATTATTTATCCCTGTTCAAAGCAGTATGTCATTTGTTTTGACATATGTACCAGATAGCTAGTTTATATTTAGTAATGTATAATAGTTCAGATGCAGGATGGAGGACCCCTCCTTTCCTGCCTTGTCCTCTAGTTCAGGACATGACATCAAGTTTCTGTCACATGAGGCAACATATCAAGAAACGAATTGTTTTCTAGGATGGCGTGCTGTAGACAACATTATTTTCAGAGTCGCTTAGCAGCAGGGATACGGTTGGCCTTATCCACTATGTAAATATGTCTACTTTGCATCTCCTGAGGCGCTCAGTGTCTCAGAGATTCGCGTAAGCGGTTGGAGTGTGTGGGAAGAGGACGGAAACAGATGATTCCAAACATTTGAAACTACTTTACAAATGATTCACGTTTCAGAGATGTTTGTAAAATTGCATGTTTTTTGAGTGTTTATTGGGAGTTCAGTAGACATTGAGACATTGATTGGCCAAACGCGTGTGAAAACGCCCTCACCCGCCATGATTTAAAACGCTGTGTAAACACACTGTAAACATTGTGTCAACTTATTTCGCAAGTATGGAGAACAGCGATAGATGGACGGATGCTGAAGTGCAGGCACTTGTAGCAAATGTAGCTCTGCCAGTTGTCGGTGGAGATTCTTAGTCCTCCTTTCCGTTCTTTCAGTCGCTTTACGTATACGTCGACTTTCCATGTCCATTATTGTGAAACCCGCGAGACACAACAAAAACACAGCTCCGATCACAGCGTCCTCCATCCTCCTGTTGTTAACGTTG